TCGTATTCTTCCTTACAGATTTCAGTAAACTCGAGCCATCTTTTTTTTTGGGGGGGGGGTAGAGACAGGGTCTCGCTAAGTAGTTCAGGCTGGCCTTGAACTCACTTTGTAGCACAGGCTGGCCTCAAATACATGGCAATCCTCCTGCCTCAGCCTCCCCAGTGCTGGGATTACAGACGTGCGCCACCACGCCCAGCTTAAGCATCTTAAACTGAGTGGGTCCTTGAGCCAAATATGAAAGATTACAGGTACAAAGATTTTAACTACTAATTTTTTTTAAAGTACACAAATTGAAGCATGACATATAAATTTTATACTTAATTGTGCAAACACAAAAACTGTTTGAAGTTTGTGTAGAATTTCAGAAAATATACATTTGAATGTTATTTTCCCTTAAATCAGCATTGTGGAATTAACAGTGCAACATTCTTACTTGGAGTCACAGTATAAACCTGAACAAAAATTTTCAGAGGAGTCAAGGGTGGTACCTGCCTATAATCCCAGCACTCTAGGAGGCTGGGAAAGGGGAATCGCAAATTCAAGCCCAATTCTGGGCAACTTGAGATCCTGTCTCAAATTTAAAATATAAAGGGCTAGGAATGTAGTAAAAAGGTGGCTTTGGGTTCAACCCTCAGTACGGGGGCGGGGATGGCTCCTCCAAAAGCAAACCCTTTGTGCCACAAGACAAGCTAAAAAAAAGCAATAAGCATGAAAGCATTTATATCCTACAATGTCAAGATGTCTCCCCGAAAACAAGCAATTTACTGTAACTTTTCAATTAAGAGAGTATCACTAGATTATTACTATCAAAATTTCCTTCTCATTGAATTATCAAACAACAACATGAACTTCATCATCTACCCTATTACAAATCCAATTCTAAGCTCCCACCCAACTAACCCAATTAGAAATTCTTGTGCTGAGTCCAGCAATCTGGTTTGTGTGTGGGGGGTGTTTTTTGTTTTGTACCAGAGATTGAAATCAGGACCTTGCACTTGAGAGGTAAGTGGGAGAAGGCTAAGCTAAATCCCCAGCCCCCAGCAATCTGTTTTAATCAGCTGTTTTGCTGATTCTGTTATCAGATCATGTTGGAGCTCACTGTGAAATCTGTGATGAACCCCTACCCTAGTTAAGAAGCACTCCTTGCCAGGCAGAACAGCTGACAGCTCTAATCCCAGTACTTGGGGGTGGGCTGGACTGAGGCAAGAGGATCATCAGAACTCAAGAACAGCCTGAACTGCATAGTAAAACCCAGTTCAAAAAGACTCAATTCCTTAAGGTGTCTCTTCTTTCCAGTGTATTGACACAAATGTTTTTCTAACACAATAAACCTGCCAGGTGCAGCGGCACATGCCTGTGATGGCCAACTCAGGAGAGGGAAGCAGGACTGTGGCCAAGCTTGAGGCCAGCCTGAAGCACACAAAGAGACAGTTTCAAAACGAAACAAAAATATATGCAGGTGCGTGCTGGTGCATACACGTTTTAATGCCAGCATTCCAGGGAGCCTGAGGCAGGAGGATCACTCCAAGTTTGAGACCAGCCTGATGTACACAGAAAACGTACTTTAAAAAGTTTAAAAGTAAAAATTTTAAAAAAGCAAACCCAAAGGCCGAGATTTAGCTCAGTGGTCCTGCTGCTTGCCTTGCAAGCATCAAGGTCCCCAGTTCAATCCCCGGCTTTAAAAAAAAAAAAAAAAAAAAAAAAAAAAAAACCAAAAAATTTTTAAAAAAAAAAAAAAAAAAAAAAAAAAAAGTAAACCCAAGAACATTACCTTTCACGCTGATTCAATGAATGTTCCAAGGGAAGTCAAAATGCTATGACAATCTTTTATTCCTTTTTTAATCCAAAACCCTTATCATCTATAATGAACACCCCTAATTATGCTTCATCCAGCACCTTGGTTTTCACCAGATCCTCTAGCAAATCTAACATGTACAAAATCATAATCTTTGCAGTTTCCAACGACAATGAGTATACAGTAAAGTATGAATAATGCTCCTCAATGACTAAAGACTGACATACAGCTTGAAAGCAGTTAATAGTAATTACTAATGCAGAAAACTTTATGAAACTTTCTGTATTTTTCAGCCTTTCACAACAAATGACTTGTTTCAGAAATTAAAAGTCTAAAGTCTCCTTATTTTGTAACTATAAAACTAAAATGCAGTTTTGTCCAATGAGATTTGTTCAGTGAAATACAATCAGCAAAGGGGATTAAAAACTAGATTTTGTAACTCCTAGGCCAAGATTCCTTCTACCGTTACACTCCCTAGGTAATTAACACATCTCACTCATCATTAATATAATTAATCTTTAAAATTAAAACACCTAGGGCAGGGGATAGCTCAGTGGCACCACACCTGCCTCAATCACAAGGTCCTGAGTTCAATTCCCAGTACCAAAAAAGAAAAAGAAAGCGAACACCTAGCTAATAATTCCTTGTTTCTAACAGCCATTCCATTTAAAACAAGGTCATATGTAATGTCAAACTCTAGAGATCTAATTATAAATACAAGGTAACGTTTAAATACTCTACAGAAGGAACAGCAAATGTCAAGTAGTCCTAAGAATGATTGACATGGTCCAAATACCTGCAATTCGGTCCTTTTTAAACGCTTCCAAATTGAGAAATAATGCTTACCTAGTTCAGAACAATTAGAAATGTTTGATAATTTTTCGACCAAAGAGTTCCTGACAGTGACTCAGGAATGTTACCTTGGTACATGATCCTCAGGAACCTTTATTTCCAACACAAGGAAGTATCCTTCAATTAATTTCAACACCAGTAACTGCTCTCATATATTAATTTTTTAACATTTACCAACACTTTAATAGAT